GCCCGCTTTTCTTATTCTTAGGTTTGTCCCCGTATCTTCTGGTCTCTGACTTGAAACAAAAGGCGAACCATAACTTCTACTTCTAAAAATATTGCCATAATCATTATTTATTTGTTGTCCCACCGCCGAACCTAAACTATGACTGATAATGTCAGTAATACCTGTGAGTTTTTTACCATCAACTTGTATAGTTCCGTCTTTAATGAATTTATCAACGTCCTTATATCTTTTTGTTTGTTGTGTTTGATACAACGGTAATTTTAAATCATCATAAATATCTCTCCCGCTTTTAGTTCCGGCTATGTATAAAATAGAACCATTTTGATAAATCCCTTCTGGGTTTTCATAAGCAAGTCTTAAACCTTGCGTATCGGTTAAGAACGTTTCGGTTCCTGCTAATTCGTCCCTAACTTCATCATTAATCTTATTTCTTGTATTGGGCGATTCGTATAAAACACCTTCATTTCTTCTTTTATGTTTAAACATTCCTTTATAAAATAACTTATAATTTATTTCTAATTTAATTAATAATGCTTAAGTTCAAGAAGGTATATATCGATAATAGTTATAAAGTAAGTGGCACTTCGTCCGAATTTGTTATTGACTTACCTGAAACTGTCCAATTAGAAGATAATATGTTATGTCAAATACATGAGGTAAGCATTCCTCATTCTTGGTATTCAATAAACAGCACAAATAACAATATTTATTGGAGACATCAAGTTATACCCCCTGGTGTTATAGCGGGTATTACTTACCGTAAAGTAACAATTCCCGAAGGTAACTATACAGCGGTAGATTTAGCACAAACCATACAAATAGCGATTAATCTATTAGTGGATACAAACGACAGACCTAACACATATTCTTTAAGTTACAACACATCAACTAACAAATTTACAATCAGTTCTAATTATGCAACAGTTATTTTTGTTCTTCTCACTGATGGGGAAGTTGCGCCAGTGGCAAATTTGTTTAGTGACCCTGTTGATGTTAATAACTTATATTCTTTAAACCGCGTGATTGGCAACACAACCCCAGCAACCGACGCTTATACTAATGTAGCACCTTATACAACTAATTTTATTGATTTAACACCTGTTAAAAATGTTTATTTGCATTGTAATGAAATTAGCAACTATAACCAATTAACAGTAGCGGGTAACTCAAGTATTATTAAAAAGATTCCCGTTAATGTTCCTTACTTAGGGGTCATTAATGATTCCGAGTTGAGCGTTGTTGATTATATTGACGTCTCTAACAAATTATTAAGAAGATTAAATTTTCGTCTTACTGACCATCTTAACCAAAATATTAATTTAAACGAGGTGGATGTTTCATTCACGATAACATTTTTTAAAGGTTAAAATAACATATAAAATTTCTATATAGAATATATGGAAACGATTAATAATGAAGTTCAAGAAAGTCAAAATGAAGAAGCAAATGAAAAGGTGGTTGAAAATATTATTGAAGAAGCGACCGAACCACAAGAAATTAAACAAGAGGAAGCAAAGCAAGAAGAAGCGGAAGAGAAACCGAAACCAAAAAAAAAAAAAAAAAAACTACCGAGAACAGTAAAGGTCGTAGAGATGGTAAATTGTCCCGACTGTGATAAAAAGATGTTACCCAAGAGCTTAAAACATTCACATCCGAGAAATTGTAAAGGTCAGCCTTCGGAAACATTGCCCGTTAATAAACAGAAAAACTCGTATGGGTCTAAACTGAAGGAACAGATGAGAAAAGAAATAGAGGAAGAAATGAAAAGCAAATATCAAAACAAAGAAAACGAAATAATGCAACATAGCGAAGAAATTGAAGTCGCGAATGCACGCGAGGCTCAGCCGAGCGTCAAAACTAAAGCAATACCAAAACAACCCGTCGTAATGAAACAGCCAGAGCGACAATTAACAGCAAGCGAGCTATTACAACAGTCATACAACGAAATGAAGAAATTGAAGCAACAAGAGAAAGCCGAGAAAATAGCAAGGTTTAAAACAAGCATGTTTTAAATTATATTTAATAATTATTATCTACTATTGAATATAATATGAGCATTTTTAAGAGCAAACCAGAGATGAGACGTATGCCTATGGTAGAACAATACTATGATTTAGAAGAATCAATCGGAGTAGCAAGTCGGAAGAAAGAACTCGAAGACATGAAGTTAAGAATAGAAGAAGCGGAAAACAGAGCTAAGAACGTAGCGTTAAGGAACGATTGGATAAAACATCAGAAGCAATCGCTATATCAAGGCCAGTTAGATGATATCAATAGACAATTAGAGAGACCATCAATGCCAGTAAGAACGAAAGAGGAACTGATGAAACGTCAAGATGAATTAAAAACTATAATGAAAGAAATAATTTAAATCTAAAATAATAATATTAATGATTAAAACGTTAAAATCTGAATTAAAATTACGTCCGACGTATGATGAGTTAGTCGGTATGATTGAAAGCCAAGGCGACCCTAACAGACCACCAATAGAGAAAATAATTGACAGAAGAGCAACATTATTTAGAAATAATCAGTTCGGTAGTCAATTAGATAATGTTGATTTTTTGGGGTTGAAGAAACAAGAAGAAGACAAATTAAAAGAAGAAATGAGACAAACACAACTGAGACAAACGGCAATAGCAAGAGGGACATCGGTAGGAATGCTAAACGCCCAGACATCAGTAAGTTCATCAATGCCAAGTGGTGCAACAACACCATTTTTAGATTTAGGTTCAACGCCTTCGGAAAGTGAAGTGCCAAGTTTAGCCATAGAACAGATTGACGCAATACGAGCCGAATTAGAACGACACAACCAATTTATTAGGAATACGTCATCATCAACAGCCAATGAAGCAAGTAGTGAATTAAGAGAAGTGGGCGACCAAGAAATACCGGACGGCGTAATTTTAGAAGATGAATTAGAAGAAGATGATGACGATGAAATGCCACCGTTAGAAAGTGTGCCACCTTCAAGAGATGCGAGAGGAGTTAGACTAAGCAAAGTATCAAAAAGAATTAGAGGCAAACAAACCCCAACAACAGAAATACAACCTTCAACAAGTTCATCAAGCACAGCAAAAGACATATTAGTGAGTGGAGCAAAAGCAGGAGTAGAAACATTAGCAAAAGCAGGAGCAACAGCAATAGCAAAATCTTTTTTACCAGTTTGAGCATATAAAACAAATTGCTCAATTTTTCAAATTGAAGAATTTCTTAATTTATCTAAAATAAATTAACAAAATCTATCTTATTTTATATTATATGTTACGGTTACGCCCGACTTTTGAACAAATTGAACGAGAAGCGAGAACAAGCAGATTAAGAATATTACCAGAACGACAAAGAAGAACACAACAAGGGATATTATTAGATGAGGTCGATTTTGATGATTTTGATTTAGGGAAATATGATAGGAAGACAATATTATTAAATGAGAACCCAGAGAAGGGAACGCAAACAGATGTATTCAATGAAACGCCAAGCATAACAGAAAGCGAAAGTATGAGAACACCAGAAGAAGAAGTTAAAGAAGAACCCGAGATTGAAAGCGAAGAGAGCGTAAAGATAAGTGAAAAGGAACGCGACGGGGAAAGAGAACGCGAACAACCACAGAAAAAGTCAGTAATGCGAAGAGTTTATGATGTCATGTTTGGAGATGATGAGTTCAAAGAAGAAAGAGAAGAAATGCGAAACAGAAGGCAACAAATTGAGGAAGATGATTTAGATCGTGAAACACCTTTTGAACAACAAAAGAGCGAAGAGAGTGATAACAGTTTGCCTATGAATGTTAAAAAATCTTATGAGCCTTCATCGGAATCATCAAGTTCTCGTAGAAGTTCGAACAGAAGTGCATTATTGCCCGTTGAAGAAGAAGCATTAAGCGAATACATTCATTCATCTCCACCTGAAACAGTTCAAAGTTCTGTGCGGAGTGATAGGACTATTGAATATGTTGATGAACCATCGCCGCCTCAAAGCGTTGTTAGTTCTCGTAGAAGTCAAGAAACCATTGAGTATATAAGAAGCAGAACGAGTTCAAGGCGTTCAAGTGTTCAATCAGGAGGCTCTTAATTAAAAAATCTATGGGTTGCTGTATTTCATAAAACTTACAACAAAAGGACTAACTATAACACGGGAAGCCCCAGAAGCTTGAGAAGTTGGGAAAAGACTGAAACGAAGAAGGGGGAGATATGGGGAAGAAATTAGGTTTATTGTTGCTATAAATCATAACAACAACAAACATTCAAACAAGCATATGGGAAGGACTTTAAGAATATAGGAACGCATAAGGTGGATAGATTAAATTTTAGGGGTGTTGTTATTTGTAGGTTTTGCGGAATGAATGAGGTAGCTTGTCCTTAGAATCCCCTATGGATAATGGATAAGGCGGGAAACGAGAGAAAACGAATGAGGGGATGGTAAAAAGTTGGGGCTAAAAATTCGGCGGGAAATACGGGGAAACTGGGCTTAGGAAATGCAACAGGTAGCGAAAGAACATAGAACTAAATAAGGGGGCAGGGTCAAGAAAAAGCAGAGCTGGGGGGCAAGTGGGTAGCGATATAACCCTGAAGCCTTAGCCTGTGAAACCCCCTTTTACATATTTTTGGGTGTGGATGTGGGCGAGCGTGGGTGTGGGCGGGCGTCTCTTGTCACTACTTGTCACGTAGCTTCGAGTGTGTGACTGTCTGGCCCATCTCGCACGGCTAGATTGCCGAATGTGCTGATGATGATGATGATGATAATGATGATGATGATGAGGATGATGATGATGATGACGATGACGATGATTATGACGGTGATGGTGATGGTGATGGTGATGATGACGATGATGATGACGATGACGATGATGATGACGGTGATGCTGATGGTGATGTGATGATGACGATGATGATGATGATGATTGGTATGACTCTTGTTCTACATGAGCATTGTTGTTATTATTAGTATTAATATTATTGTTATATTAGAACAGCATGCATGTGGGTCTTGCAGCTGCGAAGGTCAGCCTGGCGCTGCATCCGTTATCAACTCCCAGCTCTCCTACTTGCTAGCTGCTTGGTTGTTGAATAGTCGGATACCTTATAAATCTTGGGGCGAGCCCGAATACAGACCCCCAATAGAGGATCCCCTTATAGTAATAGGACCCCAACAAATTACCCTAAACCCTGAACCCTAAACCCTAAACCCTAAACCCCCCTATGCTTTCGAGTTGCTTCATGTTCTCTGGGCTTCCGCGAAGCCAAAGGCGATGGCTCAGCAGCGAGGTGGCCTCGTGGTGTCGCAGAAGCTGGCCGAGGAGGTGGGGTTTAGGGTTTAGGGTGTAGGGTGTAGGGTGTAGGGTTTAGGGTGGTTTAGGGTTTAGGGTTTAGGGTTTAGGGTTTAGGGTTTAGGGTTTAGGGTTTTAATTTACCCTAAGGGTCCATGTACCTATATAGTATATACGTGGGCCTAAAGCTACTAAAATAGGAACCCCCTTTGAGGCCTAAGTATGTAGGTACATGGACCCTTTGGGTTATATTGGTATGCATAGTGTTTTTTTTCAGGTCCTGAGGGGAGTCTAGACCTGGGCGATGGAGGGTGTAGGTTTCTAGGGTTTGTGGGTATCAATTTGCCTCAACTGTAGCACCTGGGCCGCTGAGGCAGAGGATCACACAGGGCTTCTTTGCAGCTCAGCCCGAATCCCAAACTTTTTTGGATGCATGCCTCAGACGCGTAGATGACCCGGAGGTGAGCCAGAAGCAGGAGAGCACTGGCGAACGCTCCGGAATCGCAGGGTCGTGGGGAAAGGGATTCATGCGGGGAGGCTATCATATGTCTGCCGCCTGCCTGTTTCCGTCTGTGTTGGTGAACACGCTGGAAACTGCTTGCACTTGGGCTTCATTTCCGGCACTACACCGCGCAGTCCTCCACGCAGCACGGACGGCGATGAAGCGTGAGTGCGGGGTGCAAGGAGAGGTGACCTGTCGCTTCACGCATGTCTACCCCGATGGGCCAGCTCCGTATTACACTTTTGTGGTGCTCGGGCTCGCAACCACGCCAGGCGCGGATTCGAGAGTGAAGATGTGGCAGAACATCAAGAGAGACGTGATGCAGGCTATCATGGAGCACGGTGGCACGTCCACGCACCACCATGCCGTCGGGAAGTTGCACCTGCCTCAGTACCGGGCAGAGCGTGGAGCGTTGTTCGGCCCCACTCTATCGGCCATGAAACTTGGCTTTCTCTTTTGGCTGGCTCTTATAGGACTTTGACCTTTTGGTTTCTTGTAGAAGCTACAATAAGGAGCCTAAAATGGCCTAATAGTTAAACTTCTAGGAGGGGTTCAGAAGTCGGCCAAGGAAAGCTGCACATGACAGCGCTGGCATTATGAACCCCAGGCTTTTGGAGCCTTCAATCCGGGTGCCCTCGAAGATGTAAAAAGGCCCACGCGATTAGGGAGCATCGTTCTCCCAAATGAACCCTAAAATTGGGGTCCTATACCTTGCCTATGAGCGGAGCACAGGGGGGGGGGGGTGGGGGGTGTACTTTAGGGATCGTAGGGTCTTCTAGGGGTTCAGGGTTTGGGGTTCAGGATTTAACCCTGATCCCTACACCCTATAACGTTTAGGGTTTAGGGCTGTCCATGCCTGCTATGGAGTCCTTCAGCGCCTCCTAACAACAGGAGGAAGAATCATAAGATCCTAAACCCCTAAACCCCTAAACCCTAAACCCTAAACCCTAAACCCTAAACGATCGTAGACCCTTTAAGGATCCAAAACGTCGATCGTTTAAAGGGTTCCGAAGAATGAGCGAATAGTAGTGAAGGGGTTCTTCGCGGGTTCCTATAAGAATGACCCAATAGCAGTATAGGGATTCCTTTACGGGTTCTTAAGAATGACCCAATATTAGTAAAGGGATTCCTTTAAGGGTTCCTACAAAATGACCCAAGAGTAGTAAAGGGATTCCTTTAAGGGTTCCAGAAGAATGGCCCAGTAGTGCACTCTTGGGAGTACTAACCCCCCCAGGGGTCTGGGATGGAGAGAACCTGTAGCCATACGTATCTTTGTTGTGCTTTACTGTAACTTTAGGTCCTTGGTTTTTTTGGGTTTATTTGGTTTCTTAATAAGGAAGCAAAAAAATATTTTATAACTACCCTCCTCAGTGTAGCCATGCGTATGTGTATATACAGATCCACAGCCCACGCACGTTCATGAGCTGGAAGCAGCATTTAAGTAAAGCATCCCAAAACCTTAGCAGCTTTTTGTAGGGTTTAGTTAGGGTTTAGAGTTTAGGGTTTGGGGCTTGGGGCTTGGGGCTTGGGGCTTAGGCTAGTTACGTGGTTCCAGTAAAACATGGGCCCTCTTTCGTGGGATTCCGGTTATATGCCGCTTTTTCCACTCCAGAAGCTCAACGCCTTTTATACAGTGGTGGTTGGCTTGAAATCCTAAACCCTAATTAAACCCTAAACGCTATAACCCTAAATTTCAAAGCCCTTTAAGGTGGCGGTGGCTGTGCCCCAGGTGCATGCACAACTTTAATGCCAAAGAGAAATGGCGCGCCGCCAAGTTGGACGTAGCTCCTTGAATGCAGTTTAGGGTTTAGGGTTTAGGGTTTAGGGTTTAGGGTTTAGGGTTTAGGGTTTAGGGTTTAGGGTTTAGGGTTTAGGGTTTAGGGTTTAGGGTTTAGGGTGGGTACGGGGACCACGGGTCCCTTCATCCCGAAACCCTACACCTTAAACCCTAAACCCTGAACTCCCTAAACCGTAAACCTGAGACTTAAGCCCTAAACCCTAAACTTCCTAAACCCTACTCCTTAGACTTAAACCCTAAACCCTAAACTCCGTAAGCCTTAGACTTAAACCCTAAAAACTAACTCCCAAAACCCCAAACCTTCGATTTACAATCTAAACCCTGAACTCCCTTACCTTTGAACCTTAGGCTTAAACCCTAAACCCTAAACTCCCTAAACCCTAAACCTTAGACTTAAATCCATAACCCTGAACTCCCTAAACCGTAAACCTTAGACTTAAACCCTAAACCTTTTCCCTAAAACGTAAATTTAAGAGCCTCGGGCTCATGCCGCCAACCCCGCAGGAGAACTGGTGGTTTGGGTTTGCGGTTCAGGGTTTAGGGTTTAGGGTTTAGGGTTTGGGGTTTAGGGTTTAGGGTTTAGGGTTCCGGAGGCTTGGGGGGTTGGGGGGGGCGGGCTGGGGGTGGGGGGGTGGGGTGGGGGGCTGGGGGGTCCAATTGCAGTTACATGGTCCCTCACCTTCTTTACAGGGTTCTGAAGTATGGGCGCTTGGCTTGCATAGGGTATATAACCCTAAACCCTTAACCCTCAAACCCTCTAAACCCTAAACCCTAAACCCTAAGCAATCAAATACCCCTGAACCCTAAACCATAATTCATTCCATTGATGACCCCTATATACAACTACCTATTTAATCTTCAAGTGGGTCGTCTGGGGCACCAAGGCTCCGTTGACGAAAGCGCGGCGAGAGCCCAAGCGATGCCTGTCATGGCGAAAAAAGTTTGTGAGGATGGACGGCTCCACCCCGGGGTTTAGGGTTTAGGATTTAATTAGGATTTTAGGGTTTAGGGTTTAGGGTTTCAGGGTTTTAGGGTTTTAGGTTTCGGGTTTAGGGTTTAGGGTTTAGAGTTTAGGGTTTAGGGTTTAGGGTTTAGGGTTTAGGGTTGTCACTCTTGGGCCTCAAAGGATGTACCCCTGAGAGGTTCCCCTAGAATACTCCTCAGATGGCCCTCGTATTCCCTTAGAGGATCTTTAAAAGAGGCTCTGGGGTTTAGGGTTTAGGGTATAGGGCTTAGGGCTTAGGGCTCAGGGCTTAGGGTTTAGGGTTTAGGGTTTAGGGTTTAGGGTTTAGGGTTTAGGGTTTAGGGTTTAGGGTTTAGGGTTTAGGGTTTAGGACTCCCCAAACCCAAGGGTACAACCGTCGGGGTCTAAGGTAGAGTCCCAGGCCCCCGGAAGAAGAAACCCTGATCTTCATATGGGTAGTTCTCCAAACTAGGCTCCCTTTTGGGACCTTACTTTACGGGTGCAGTGGTTTTCCAGGGCAAAAAAACACCTACCCCAAGTTAGAGAACTACCCATATATACTGGAATGTCAAACCCTGACCTCTGCCAGCCCGATATCTTCCAGTTGCGAGTCAGGAATAGCAACTGCTTTCGTAATTTGAGAGCCATTCCTTGCACGCTCGAAGTCGAAACCCGAGGCCCTAGCGCCCCGACATTAGCCCTCAACCCGAAACCATAGACACTGAACCCTGAACCCGAAACTCTTTGTGTTAAGCCTTAGCGCTCTTACGCCCAATCCATAGAGGCCCTAGGTTCAAGCATGCGGTTGTTTGCAGCAGAGCAGTTTTGGCCAGCTACACAAAATAAGTCCTAGTCCCTAATCTCTTTTCGACCTACGACCCTGAGCACAAACCCTAAGAACCCTAAACCTTGAGCCCTAAACCCTAAACCCTAAACCCTAAACCCTAAACCCTAAACCCTAAACCCTAAACCCTAAACCCTAAACCCTAAACCCTAAACCCTAAACCCTAAACCCTAAACCCTAAACCCTAAGAACCAGAACCTTCGACAGCTCATGCGTTGCTTGGCGGCCTGGGGTCTGGTCGCAGCGGCCTCCGCCCATCCAGGCATCTCGGGGGTTTAGGGTTTAGGGTTTAGGGTTTAGGGTTTAGGGTTTAGGGTTTAGGGTTTAGGGTTTAGGGTTTAGGGTTTAGGGTTTAGGGTTTAGGTTTAGGGTTTAGGGTTTAGGGTTTAGAGGTCAAGTTTAGGGTTCAGGGTTGAGGTGTTGTTAGCGCCTGGGGGTAAGGAAGGGCAGCCGATCATCCTAAGCCAGTAATATGCCCAGAGGGTCAAGCTTGAAAGGTTCGAGTGGAGGTTAGGGTTTAGAGTTTAGGGTTTAGGGTTTAGGGTTTAGGGTTTAGGGTTTAGGGTTTAGGGTTTAGGGTCTAATGTTCAGGGTCCAGGGTCTAGGGTTTAGGCTGCCCTTGTGAGTGATCAACTTTGTGTCGGCCCTTCCAGAGCTGATTATATGCTTGAGACAGAGGCTCTTGTTATTTCTGAGTCAGGGGTTCAGGGTTGGGGTTGGAGGTTTGGGGGTTGGGAAGCCCCTTATAAAACCCTGAAGAACCTTCAATGGGGGCGAGACAAGGAAGCAGCTGCCCCCAAATCCTGACTTCCTACCTCCTCAGTTCCAAACCCTAAACCCGAAACCCGAAACCCGAAACCTAAACCCTAAACCCTAAACCCTAAACCCTGAGCCCTAAAACCCTAAAACCCTAAACCCTAAACCCTAAGCTCCCTACCTCCTCACCCCCAAACCCCAAACCCTAAGCCCCAGAGAGGTGCCTTTCCTGCGTTGCCCCGGCGAGCCTACGAGCTGCGTTGGCCGGTGCTATGGGAGGACCCAGCGAATTTAGGGTTTAGGGTTTCGGGTTTAGGGTTTAGGGCCTAGGGTTTAGGGTTTCGGGTTTCGGGTTTAGGGTTTAAACCTTAAACCCCCTAAAAACCTGTGCAGATATTATTCTTGCTTCGGAAGCCCCACCCGCACCCGGGTCTTAGGGTTTAGGGGAGAGAATCGGGTCTAGGGAGTCTAGAGTTTAGGGTTTAGGGTTTAGGTCTCGGGTCTAGGGTTCAGGGTCCAGGGTTTAGGGTTTAGGGTTTAGGGAGAGAGAAGGGCGGAGAGAGAGAGAGAGAGAGAGAGTGAGTTCGTAGGCGTAGACAGCAGCCCGCATGCCGGAAGGCGAGTTCCCCCCCAGCAGGAACCAGAGGAGGCCTTTATTCCCTTTTTGTTAGGGTTTCGGCCTTGGGTTCTCTTATAGTATTCATGTTGAACCAAAAAGGGTTACCCTTTTTTCCTACTCTTGTTCCTATTATCAGCCACTGATGCAAGTCGCAGTACGACGAGACAATGGCAACCTGCTGCTCCCAAATCCCCACTACAATTGCCACGATTTAAACTCGCTAGAAAACCCCCCACGCCCCCTAAACTCAAAGCACTAGACCCGCAAACCCTAAACCCTAAACCCTAAACCCTAAACCCTAAACCCTAAACCCTAAACCCTAAACCCTGAGCACTAAACCCTAAACCCTGACCTTGCATCGACCAAGCCCTAAACCTCCAAGCCAGGCCCTGAACCCCAGAAGTGATAAACCCCTTTTCTGGAATACCTGAAGCCGAAGCCCTTCCAAAACTTTCCCAAACCCTAAACCCCAAACCCTAAACCCCAAACCCCAAACCCCAAACCCTAAACCCTAAACCCTAAACCCTAAACCCTAAACCCTAAACCCTAAACCCTAAACCCTAAACTTCAGCCCTCCCGCAAGGGCGGAGCACGCCGCCCGTTGCCCTTGGGCTGCGCTGGCGAAGAGCTGACAAAGGCCGGGGGTGCCGGTTTTCCAAGTCCACT